CATTGTCCATTTTCTACAGCAGCTATTGACTTAGCTCAAAGGCTAGTAAACACTTTTGAGTAGAGTATTCTCTGGATATTCTAGCTCTGGGCTTCAGAGGTCTGGTGCATCCATCCGTGTGTGCACAAATGAGTTTTTCCATTTGCATTTGAAGCAGTCAGTTACGGGTGGGAGCACAGAAAAGCATTTGTGAAGGTGATATGGGTATGCAAAGAGAGATCAATGGAAGGCCAGGGATGGAGGAAGAGCTTCAGAAGGAGGGCAGACTTCTCAGAGGAAAGCAGAGGGTTCCACCAGGTTGGTGACAGCTCCGACTTCAATTCGAAAAACATGTCTTGTTGATGACTAATTAGTAAGGCTTCCGTTTAAGATTGTAATAAACAGCCCAAATAGAAGCCAATCCCAAGCTCAAGAAGCCCACGGCAGATCCATGGCTTAGAGTTAATGCTTAGTATTAAGGCATCCTTGATAGGAACCACTAATAGGCATCATTTTCCAGGGCACACTGGTCTGCATTTTATAGCTGTCATTGATGTAGCTATGCTTTAATTTTCCTTCCAATAAATTCTTAAGGATAATTGGTGATACCCCCATGGCTTGGAAAAATGTGTATGGGACATAGCTGGATTTAGCTCTGTGTCTGATTCTACAGCCTTATGGGTCTGTGACTGGACTCACATCCTACTAATGTCTACCAAAGCACAGCTCCTTTATATTATCTCTGAAATTGAGACCCGATGACACTATGAATCTCACCTTCACGGTGTCTATAATCAGCATCTGTTCCTGCCAAGCTATTCAATATTTGGAAAAGAACCTAGAAGCTAAACAGAAAGAACAGAGACCAAGCATGGAGTAGAGGAGACTTGTCACTTATCAAGACTTCTCGGTACCTACACCCTAGCTCTAGACATCTTCTCTGTGTTTTGGGCCAAATTACTAATATCAGAGCTTAATGCTTCACCATCAAATAGAAATCCTCTTTTTCTTTCTTTTATGTGACGCTGAGGAACATAGGCATACCAGGCAAGCACTCCACCACTGAGTACCCCATCCCCATCCCCCATCCCAGCAACTGTAGTTCTACAGAGGTTTTAAGGGGCTAATATATCCATCCCCTTTCCTTCCTTCCAGCTCACTCTGTCTCCCCACAACATACCTCCCAGTTCTGTCTCAACCATCATCTTATTTTTTTGTAGTCCACTAAGTTCAATTAGTGCAGTCCATATGTTCTGTGTGGGGTCATCCACCCAGGTATGGGCAACCTAACCATGGCAATCCCCACACCCACGAAAGAAAAGCGATATTCCTCTCTCTGCTTCCATCAGTTGCCTTTAGGTCCTCAGCTAGGGGTGGAATATTGGGAGCCTTTCCCCAGTACTTGCTGGAATTTTTTAACTCTCTTGGTCTCGTAAGATGCAGTTACTGTACCAGGCACTGTGTGTGCTGGGATGTGGAGGTTGGGAGGTAAATTGAGTTTTCTCTGTGATCTCTGTGATAGGCTTGGAGAGTGGAACGATTCCTAGTAGGGAACTAGGACTCTGTGACCCCCACAAGGAGCCGTCCAGATTCTACTAAAAATAAAGGACCAGCTCTGTGAAGGTATAGGATCTGTCTGAGGATAAATTATTGAACGTTACCTGGTGTTTACCAAGACACGTGTGCCTATTTGTGAGGATGTCTAAGAACCTGGCTTGGTAAGTGCCCAGCTGAGTGCAAAGGTTGAGAAAAATACTGAGTTGATTATTTAGTAAATAGATTTGCTTATCATAGCAAGGCATAGAATGAAATGTCTACATACATAAGAGAAATAAAGGAAGGGGGAGGAGAGAATAGAAGAGTTCAGACAGACTGATAGGCTGAGATACCTACAGGGACAGGGATAGGGAGGTAGGGAGGAGACCAAAGGAGAGGAGAGGAGAGGAGAGGAGAGGAGAGGAGAGGAGAGGAGATGAACTAGTTTATCTTCACAAGGTGGAAAAATTGGACCAAGGGCTGTTGATGACTTTGGGGACCAAATCTGGAGGCTGGAATTTGGCATTGGCTTCAGTTGGCCTGGAAGAGAATGATGACTTGAATTTGTCCTATTTTCCCATGGTGGGGTCAGGTGGTAGTGTGCAAAGGGGTGACCATTCCGGGAGAAGTGTGAACACTTTGTCCATGATAAATGCTTGAAGCAGACTGGTGAGATGGCTCAGAGGGTCAAGTTACTTTACCCCCCTGAGTCTGACAGCCTGAGTTACATTCCCGGGATCCACTTGGTGGGAGAGAACTGAGTCTTGCCAGTGGTTTTCTGGCTTTCCCACACGAACCCTGGTGCACATGCATGTGTGTACTCATAAATAAATGCAGTTTTATTTTTATTTTTCCCCCATTTGATTTTTTCATTCAAATTAGAAACAATCTTATTTTACAAATCAATCCCAGTTCCCTCTCCCACCCATCCTCCCATGCTCCCCACCAATCCCCACACCCCAAGGAGGGTGAGACCTTCCATGAAGGATCATCAAAGTTTGTCACATCATTTGGGGTGGGGCCTAGGCCCTCCCCCATGTTTTTAGGCTGAGAGAGTATCCCTCCATAGGGAATGGGCTCCCAAAGTCCATTCCTGAACTAGGAATAATTACTGGTTCCACTGCCAGAGGCCCCATAGACTACCCAGGCCTCCTAACTGACACCCACGTTCAGGGGGCCTGGTTTGGTCCTATGCTGGTTTCCCGGCTGTCTGGCTGGGGTCCATGAACTCCTTGCTCAGGTCAGCTGTTTCTGTGGGTTTTGCCAGCCTGGTCTTGACCCCTTTGCTCATCACTCCTCCCTCGGTACAACTGGATTCCAGGAATTCAGCTCAGTGTTTGGCTGTGGATCTTTGCTTCCGATTCCATCAGCTACCGGATGAAGACTCTAGGATGGCATTTAAGGTAGTCATCAATCTCATTACAAGAGAAGGGCATTTAAGGTAGCCTCTCCACTATTGCTTAGATTCTTAGTTGGGGTCATCCTTGTGGGTGAAAATTTCAAGGAACTTAGGAATGTTTCCTTGAAGAAGAAATGGGATGAGAAACTTTAAAAATATAAAATGGAGAGAATCTGTTGGATGATGGATGAAGCAGGCTCTCTGTTAGACAGTTTCCCGAATCCTCAAATGATTCTCATTGCTGTTGCTTTGATAAAATGCTCTTCCCAATCTTTTCACATGGTAGCTGCGGGCCGTCTACCTTCCTGCATTAGACTATTAATCATTTATGAAGGGGTAGTCTTCAGCATCAAGATAATGCAATTCATAAGCTCTGTAATGTCTTCTCATTGGCTCTATGTTCTGTAAGAAGTCAGCTCCTAACAGATGAGAGCAATGTTGCCTTGAATTGTTTAGGAAATGTGTTTGCTTATGATAACAAGATATAAAAGAAAATACCCATATTTAAGAGAAATAAAATAGAGTTAGGGGACTGAAAGGAGGAGGAGAAAAGGAAGGAAAAGAAAATGAGTAGGAGGTGAGAAGGGGGAGGAAGAGAAGAGAAGGGAAGGGAAGAAGACTGACAGGGTACCTAACTCATCACAGGAGCTTAATTCCACCAAGTAGAATCTATGCAGGATACTCTATAGCAAGAAAGACTCTCAAACTGTTTAATTTTCTGCATCTCTAGTCTATGTCTTAGATGTTGGAGACTGTTCTGGTCCTGGCTTTCAGGACAGGTAATGTCATCCAATCGAATTAACACAGGAATGGAGGTGGGATGAGCCACAGTGGCTTCCTGGCTGGGTCATCTTGGGCTGTGATGTATCTCCCTGAGTCCACACACTTATCCTGTGGGGCAGAGGCAAAGACTATAACTATGTCATTTAAGATGGTCAGGGGTGCTAGAAACATGGCTCAGCAGTTAAGATCACTGGTTGCTCTTCCAGAGGACTCAAGTTCAAGTCCCAACACCCACATGGCAGCTCCCAGCCATCTGTAACTCCAGTTACAGGGGGATTTGATGCCCTGTGTGGCCTCCAAGGACACTGCATGCGTGTGATGTGTAGACATACATACAGGTAATTTTATTTTATCATGAAGATAAAATTAAAATAAATCTTCCAAAATAAACCAAAGAATAACTGAGTCATATCAGAACTTAATAGTGCTGAATAAAATGGCCAAGTCATCATGACATAAAGTAAAGCTCAATATATCTTAGAGGTTTTTGTGATCAGATTGCAGAATACCCCAGGTTGCATCCATCCCTCCTGTGTATCTCCCATCATCTCCCCCAAACAGCAGTATGAGAATGATAAGGAAGTATGATTGTCTACATTGGGTGCAGGCAAAAGAACCTCCGCCCTTCAGCCAAATGCAACGTTGTAAAATTATGAGTAAATATTGTATATTTGACCACACTGATTGGGCCTACACAATGGAATCTCTAAACTTCTGTTTACCGACTTGCTTAGAATTCCAACCATACTATTGAGAATAAACCTTTTTATCCGTAGGCATGATCTTCTTGACACCTACAGAATAATGCAATTCCATAAAAATAAAATCTCTTTAAGAAAAAGGGGGCTCTGTTTCAGACAAGATCAGGCCCATTCAGAGTAGCAAGGCTGTAGATTAAACCGGTTTTTGAACATCAGAGATAGTAGTTGATTTTTGGTGGATTTTAAAGAATATTCCTAAACTGGTGTGTAGGGGTAACAACTGGGGAATAATACTTCTAAAAAACAGAAATGAAAATAATCATAATCATGTAGCATAGCAAATGTCAATCTTTGCCTTCACTGAGTCTCACCGAGAGCAACATTTATCCCCTGAATGTTCGGGTAGACGGTCACATTCTTTCTGTACATCGGAGTCACAAACTGCAGTGTCCATCTCAAGAGTGTGAAGAATCCTTCTCTTAGCCAGTTTCCAACAAATGTGGATACGATTGCGTCACTAAAGGCTCAAATCGCCGAGAACATGTTTCTAATTGCTTCTCCGATGAAGGACACTTGTTAACAATTGGTTTGTCTCCCTGCAGATGGAGAGGCCCCTGGAGCTGGCCAACATGACCAGGGTTCAGCAGTTCATCCTGCTGGGCTTGTCCACTAGGCTGGACATAAGGGATGCTCTATTTGCTGTCTTCCTGACTCTCTACCTGCTGACGCTCCTGGAGAACACTCTCATCATTTACCTCGTCTGCAGTCACAGCGAGCTCCACAAGCCTATGTACTTCTTCCTGGGCAACCTCAGCTGCCTGGAGATCTGTTATGTGTCGGTCACCATGCCCACCCTACTCGTGGGGCTGTGGACGGGGCCCTACCATATTTCCTTTACACTCTGCATGACCCAACTCTTCTTCTTTATAGTCCTCATCTGCACAGAGTGCACCCTCCTGGCCTCCATGGCCTACGACCGCTATGTGGCCATCTGCCGCCCGCTGCACTACCCCAGCAGCTCTCTTCATCTATTGCCGCCCCAGCCGCATCAAGTCCATGGACCTCAACAAGGTGCTGTCTGTTGTCTACACGGTGGTCACACCCCTCTGCAACCCTGTCATCTACTGTCTGAGAAATAAGGAGGTCCACACTGTGCTACAAAAGACCTTCCGCTGGCCTTGACCATGGTCTTCCAACTCTGGGCCCCTCTCTCCCCGGACCAAACATTCCTTGAGGTCTGGGTAGACCTCTATCATAGCGTGCACAGGCCCTGGATTTGATCTCCAACACCACTGGAGAAAGAACTACAACTGTTTCTTGGCTCCCAAAAAAAACTCCATAAACCTTAAACTCTGAAGAAAAATAGAACGAAGCATCTTCCATTTAATATGTGGTACACACCAAACAATAACTAAATCTGAAATAGCTAAGGGAGAAATCATCAATGCCCAGCATAAAACAAGACAAATAGCATGCTTTAGTGGCAGGTGACCCACTTCTTAAGTCACAACCCAAAGAATGTGGCTTTGCATCACATCTTTTTTATTCCTGGAAGACTGATGCATTTTTACTGAATGTGTCTGATTGTTCCCCCAAAATGCAGGTAGCTAGGTGTGCAGAATCCTTGTTGCTTCAACATTTGTAATGCAGACACAACCTAAATGCCTACTATGGATGGATCAAACAAATTAATTACGAGATTAAAACCAATGTTGTTTTAAATAAAAAGAAAACAGGTTTTTTGTTATGGTGAGTATCAACATAAAATTTTAAAAAAATCAAATAAGGGAGAATTTTTTTTTCAAGACAGGGTTTCTCTGTGTAGCTTTGGAGCCTATCCTGGCACTCGCTCTTGTAGACCAGGCTGGTCTTGAAGTCACAGAGATCCGCTTGCCTCTGCCTCCCGAAGGCTGGGATTAAAGGCGTGCGCCACCACCACCCGGCTGAGAAAAATTTAAAAAATCAAATAAGGGGCTGTAGAGATGGCTGAGTGGTTAAGGGTGCTGGCTCCTGCTTTTGCAGAGAACCTGAGTTCCGTTCCCAGCACACACATAAAGCAACCCACAACAGCCTGTAATTACTACTCTGGGGGAATCTGTGCTCATGTGCGCATGCACACAGAAATATATGAGTAAGTAATAATAAAGTTTTAAAAACTGTATTAGCATGTATTAGCTGCACAAAATGGCGTCGTGATGGCATTTTCTTGCATAGATATAATGTACTTCATCGCTCATGACCTTCATTTGTCTCCCTGCCATGCCATGCTGGTCTCTTTCTTCTTTCCAATAAATTTCAATTTCATGTCTTTTATATTTGTTGGCCTGTATTAATTGTGCACACAGTTACTTTTGTGGCAGGGAAAATTTAGACCATGTCCCATTCTTTATTTTTTTTTTTTTTTTTGGTTTTTCGAGACAGGGTTTCACTGAGCAGCATTAGAGCCTATCCTGGCATTCGCTCTAGAGAACTGGCTGGCCTCAAACTCAAGAGATCTGTCTGCCTCTGCCTCCAGAATGCTGGGATTAAAGGTGTGCACCACCAATGCCCAGCTCACATCTTTGTTTCTTGGCTATTCCTCTGCTTTAGACTCACAGTAGGTGGAATTGCAATTGTGAAGTAGATCATAACTCAGGCATTGGTATGCATCTTTTTCAAACAGAATTGCATTATTGTCTGTTTGTTTGTTTGATATGGTATGGTTCTGTGATACAGCATGGCCTGAAAACTTCAAGTACCCACTGCCATCATCCTCCTTGGTATGAATAAAGTAAACATTGAACAACAACACAAGGCTTTTTTGGTGGGTTTTCGAGACAGGGTTACTCTGCATACCTTTGGACAGCTTTTTTTTTTTTTTTTTTTTGTTTTTTCCAGACAGG